TAATTTGGGATCATCAATTAACAGTGACTTGAACATTGTTTGTTTTGCATAGCCTCAGAAAATTTATTTTTGATATCATTTTCATATCATTTTACATGTCTATCATAAATGTCGTATAGGTGAGGTGAAATTGGGTTTAACGTCGCGTCCAAGATTATTGCCCTTATATAGCGACGTGCATGCACGTGTGTGTGTGTGGATGCTTGTACTAGACCGGACTGATGCCGATTTATAGTGCTAGCACACTGAGATACCATGCCGCAGATTAAAATGAATACCCCACTCAGACACAGTTTACTGACTCCGAGCCGACCAGTCCATGCTTTAACCCCTTAATGCCGAGCGCCAGACAGGGTAACAACAAGTACCATCTTTTAACGTCTTTTGGTATGACGTGGCCGGGAATCGAACACCGGACCTTTCGCTCTCCGAGCGGACACTCTACCAAAAGACCACGGAGGCAGTCAAATGTCTTATAGATATGTACTTGCACAGTATAAACATATTGTGGCACTTAAGTTTCACATAGCTCCAACACATTATACATTTAGGTAAAATGCAGATATGATCAGGTTACAGGAAACACATTTATGTTTAGTTGTCTCTGAACTGGCAATATTGATTACTAACTGTTTATAGGTAGGTATCCAAACAAAGACAATCGAACATTCAGGCTTCAAGCAAACACTCTTCCCCACCCAGCAGTGTAAAATGTTCACAAATTTCCTGCCCAGTCATTGGACAACCAATATTGTTGCAGCACCAATCAATGATGTAATCAGATAAAATACATTACACATTTCCCAGCCATAACATAATTTCTCTCCCGATTACTCCTGAGTAAATAACCGTGGTGCAAAATCAATAGGTTTTTATGAAGAAACAGTTAACATTGACTATCTTTGAGAACACTTTCGACAAAATGTTCCCCAAAACACCAACATGAACAATGTGTCCAACCAACCATTGCACAGGGAGTCTTGTTTTCATGTCTGCACAGTGTTTACTCCCATTGTTCATTGATCATCACTTTGGTAAAGAGTACAAACAGATTCATAATTGCAATCAATCTTTTCGAAAATACTTCAATCCATAGAACAAACAATCCATTATATCAAAAATAATATTTGAACAGGTCTATCTATCTCCCATAATACACTTTATTTGGTAACAGATTAATCCTTTTTTAAATGGATGTGTAACCAGTATTTGTTTTCTAATCAAAACATTATGTCTGTATACAGCATTAGAAAGTTGCACTAGTCCCTTCGTCTTTGCCAAACTGCCAAATAGTTAAGGTATCCTAAGGCCGATTAGAAATCTGCCATTTTTAAAGGTTTTGCTATATTATAAGGGTAACGCTATTTTTCAGGGCATTATCATTTGCAGAAGCCTGAGGTCTTCCATTAACTACCCGATGAAGGAGGGCAGTTGAAAAGACTGAGGGCTTCTGCAAATGATAATGCCCTGAAAAAGAGCATTACCGATATTATAGCTAAAATAGATGAAATTTGTTATCAAATAAAAAGAAACAACAATATCGGTTTTTCAAACATTTACTGCAATCAACAATAATGTCACCTATCCCTATCCTATGACGTCACCTAACAACGGACGTGATAATGGCCCGTCATTAAGCAATATGAGGGCATTATCAAGTTACAGTGACCCGCTCATTTTTGATAACATGCAGGCGGTTTAATGATAATTCTATCCATTTTAGCTATAAGTTATCGTTATAAGGACTAGTGGACTAAAAGTTTTCATTTCTACCATTGGTATACCTACTGGTATGTGGAAATGCATGGTTAATTTGACATTTAAATCAATCAGAATGAACTCATTACAAACCATGTTGTTCCAAAATAGTAAAATATTTAACAGTGAGATAATTCATAATCCTGGGATTTGAACCTGCATATTGATTGCAATTCGTTACTGAAGCTCACTACCAAATCAGCCACTGAGGCATGGCAGGAAAAGTTTCTCAAGTGAGCTTTGAAAAAGTCTGAAATGATTATTTGGAGAAATAAACTGATCATAAACAGAAATTTGCAATTTGCTCTGAATGATTTCACAGCAAAACTAATTGCCTTCTATATCTTTTAAAGAAATAGCTGCATGCTCGTTGTCGTTAAGAGAAACTTGTGTTACACATGCGCAATTGAAAAGACGCTGATCAAGTCCACTATCTGTGTAGTGACTAAGTCACACAAACCACTCAAGTATTTGTCAGGATTGTAAACCCTGTGAGCAGCACTGGTGTCTGGTTAGTAAAACCTGAGTGTAGCAGGAATCTGGTTAGTAAGACCCTAGTGTAGCAGGGATCAGGTTAGTAAGACCCTAGTGTAGCAGGGATCAGGTTAGTAAGACCCAAGTGTAGCAGGGATCAGGTTAGTAAGACCCAAGTGTAGCTGGGATCAGGTTAGTAAAACCCTAGTGTAGCAGGGATCAGGTTAGTAAGACCCAAGTGTAGCAGGGATCAGGTTAGTAAGACCCAAGTGTAGCAGGGATCAGGTTAGTAAAACTCCAGTGTAGCAGGGATGAGGTTAGTAAGACCCTAATGTAGCAGGGATCAGGTTAGTAAGACCCTAATGTAGCAGGGATCAGGTTAGTAAGACCCAAGAGTAGCAGGGATCAGGTTAGTAAAACCTGAGAGGAGCAGGGATCAGGTTAGTAAAACCCAAGAGTAGTAGGGATCAGGTTAGTAAAACTCCAGTGTAGCAGGGATCAGGTTAGTAAGACCCTAATGTAGCAGGGATCAGGTTAGTAAGACCCAAGAGTAGCAGGGATCAGGTTAGTAAAACCTGAGAGGAGCAGGGATCAGGTTAGTAAAACCCAAGAGTAGTAGGGATCAGGTTAGTAAAACCCAAGTGTAGCAGGGATCAGGTTGGTAAAACCGAAGAGTAGCAGGGATCAGGTTAGTAAAACCCAAGTGTAGCAGGGATCAGGTTGGTAAAACCGAAGAGTAGCAGGGATCAGGTTAGTAAAACCCAAGAGAAGCAGGGATCAGGTTAGTAAAACCCAAGTGTAGCAGGGATCAGGTTAGTAAAACCGAAGAGTAGCAGGGATCAGGTTAGTACAACCGAAGAGTAGCAGGGATAAGGTTAGTAAAACCGAAGAGTAGCAGGGATCAGGTTAGTAAAACCGAAGAGTAGCAGGGATCAGGTTAGTAAAACCGAAGAGTAGCAGGGATCAGGTTAGTAAAACCGAAGAATAGCAGGGATCAGGTTAGTAAAACCCAAGAGTAGTAGGGATCAGGTTAGTAAAACCTGAGAGTAGCAGGGATCAGGTTAGTAAAACCCAAGAGTAGTAGGGATCAGGTTAGTAAAACCTGAGAGTAGCAGGGATCAGGTTAGTAAAACCCAAGAGTAGTAGGGATCAGGTTAGTAAAACCTGAGAGTAGCAGGGATCAGGTCAGTAAAACCCAAGAGTAGTAGGGATCAGGTTAGTAAAACCTGAGAGTAGCAGGGATCAGGTCAGTAAAACCTGAGAGTAGCAGGGATCAGGTTAGTAAAACCTGAGAGTAGCAGGGATCAGGTTAGTAAAACCAGTGAGTAACAGGGATCAGGCTAGTAAAACCCAAGAGTAGTAGGGATCAGGTCAGTAAAACCTGAGAGTAGCAGGGATCAGGTTAGTAAAACCGAGGGCAAGGGTTTCATCCATTACCATGTTTACAGAATTGAGTTTTCTCATGACATTATGCCAGGTAAAATTATCATGTCCATAATGATGTTTGTTATCTTTTCCTGACAACACACATGAGGTTAGACTATAGTTGTCCTACACTGAATACATGTGCAAAAGTTTGGATTTATCCAAGTAGACGATGCTCTCTTCCATTTTGCACAAGCACAGAAAGCCTTAAATATGATGAGAAGAGTTTGCTTCCAAAGGTGTGTGTTGAAAGACTTATTCAACATTCAGCATTTTGAAACAGGGACTTTTGGAAAGTTGACAGTGTGACTGCCGTTTAAAAAGTCACCGGAAACATGCCCATAACACATGGGTGGTATTTGAGTGTAAACAGCTCTTAATCCCCTCTCTGCGCGTAACAGGTTAATCAGGGCAACCATATGAGCATCTCTCCTGCTAATCAAACAGAGCTACACCTGCAGGCAATTAGTTATGCATTAATCATGGTCAGTTGGGTTTAGGCCATGATTGGTCTAAGCTTTAGGTCATAATGATTACACTAGGCAATTGACAGGCAATCAAAACCCCATATGAACACTCTGTTTATTTGGACATGAAGGGGATTTTGTCACAACATTTCACGATTTGGATAATGTTCAGGCTAAACACAATTTCAAATGGCTATTGCTTTGTTGCCTGTGATTATCATCATGACAGTTATTTAACATGATATTATAAGGGTAATAATATTTTTTAGGGCAGAATCAGAAGTCCAAGGTCTGCCATTAACTGCCCGATGAAAGAAGGCAGTTGAACAGACCGATGGCTTCTGCAAATGATAATGCCCTGAAAAATGGCATAACTGTTATTATAGCTAAAATGGAAAGAATGTGTCCTTAGCATGATAATATCCCTATACCAACCAAATCAAAACACGCAGTACAGCAGTTGTTATTCACTTGATGGACACACAACAACAGAGATCAGTGTGACCCTGGCCTAGAAACATGTCATCAACAATTGATTATGTCACTATATGTCGCATGACGTCATTCAACCTTGGCCTTCCATTCCGCAACATCAGAGGGAGACAGTTTTGTAAGTTAATAGAACATAAATTTTCAGCATTTGATGGCCATTTAGACATGGTAATTGACATGGAAATGATTGAGAATCAGAATACTGTCTATTCATTGCACTTCTCCGTAATGCTCACTTTGTGTGAGTGAGTCAGTGAGTGCGTCAGGGAGGCCTAACTTCATGACTGTCATAATTCCTACGACTTTTCAAATGCTGACAACTTCACAATTTTTATCAAGCATTTAATCATGTTGAATTATGTTGTATTATATTTCAACTTGATTTCAAGACATATTAACGTAATCCTGTAGATGTTCCCTTGCACAGTAGGTCCCCAGTAGCCAATGCTTATCTCCCCCTGAGGATTCTGGGACACAGTAGGTCCCCAGCAGACCATGCTTGTCTCCCCAAGAGGATTCTGGGAGATAGTAGGTCTCCAGCAGACCATGCTTGTCTCCCCATGAGGGTTCTGAGAGATAGTAGGTCCCCAGCAGCCCATGCTTATCTCCCCCTGAGGATTCTGGGACACAGTAGGTCCCCAGCAGACCATGCTTGTCTCCCCAAGAGGATTCTGGGAGATAGTAGGTCTCCAGCAGACCATACTTGTCTCCCCATGAGAATTCTGGGACAGAGAAGGTCCCCAGCAGCCCATGCTTATCTCCCCCTGAGGATTCTGGGACACAGTAGGTCCCCAGCAGACCATGCTTGTCTCCCCAAGAGGATTCTGGGAGATAGTAGGTCTCCAGCAGACCATGCTTGTCTCCCCATGAGAATTCTGGGAAAGAGAAGGTCCCCAGCAGCCCATGCTTATCTCCCCCTGAGGATTCTGGGACACAGTAGGTCCCCAGCAGACCATGCTTGTCTCCCCAAGAGGATTCTGGGAGATAGTAGGTCTCCAGCAGACCATGCTTGTCTCCCCAAGAGGATTCTGGGACACAGTAGGTCCCCAGCAGACCATGCTTGTCTCCCCAAGAGAATTCTGGGACAGAGTAGGTCTCCAGGAGCCCATGCTTGTCTCCCCCTGAGAATTCTGGGACAGAGAAGGTCCCCAGTAGCCCATGCTTGTCTCCCCATGAGGATTCTGGGACAGAGTAGGTCTCTAGTAGCCCATGCTTGTCTCCCCATGAGAATTCTGGGACAGAGTAGGTCTCCAGTAGCCCATGCTTGTCTCCCCATGAGAATTCTGGGACAGAGTAGGTCCCCAGTAGCCCGTGCTTGTCTCCCCATGAGGATTCTGGGACAGAGTAGGTCTCTAGTAGCCCATGCTTGTCTCCCCATGAGAATTCTGGGACAGAGTAGGTCTCTAGTAGCCCATGCTTGATTCCCATGAGGATTCTGGCCAGAGTAGGTCTCTAGTAGCCCATGCTTGTCTCCCCATGAGAATTCTGGGACAGAGTAGGTCCCCAGTAGGCCATGCTTGTCTCCCCATGAGAATTCTGGGAGATAGTAGGTCTCCAGCAGACTCACTAACCCCAAACAAAACAGTCAGTGATTAGAATCCTTAGATATTTAGTCAAATACCTCAAATGAACAACATAGTCAGCACTCCTGAAGGACAAGCTTTCAATGCCTCACAATTTTATACCACAGGAAAGAATTCTATTCATTTAATTCAAACAGTTTCCCTTGTTTATGCTGCTATCATGAAAAGAAATAAACTAAAAACACAACCATGGCAACATTCAACATTCTCCTGCCTCAGCCATCCCACTCAGCAGCCTGCATCTCCAACTCAAGTCAAAGCCTGTTCTATGATCATACTCAAATTAATCAATGCCGCATTTGTCTATACCCAAAAGCAAATCGGTGTTGTTATGGCACATACACTATCATCCAATGTAACAATTTTCTTTTCAGCAAACACAATTTATTACTTGAGTCATATCGGTCTGGACTTGGCCGCAATTACCATGTCTGAGACCAATAATACAGCCTGACCCCCTTCTGGTCGGTTTTATAACCACTTACTGGCTTCAGGAAAATGGCAGACAGTTTGTCCCCCTGATAGTGATAGTCCACTACACACTAGCAAATAATCTGTTACTGCGACACATAAATGGCAGCTCTGACACAATATCAACATAATTAGCCACTCAAGCCATAAAATATGGATGCCACCTAGGCACAGACTCCACTATAAAGCAATTCTGATTAGGATCTGAGTATGTCCAACATGGATGTACAGAGGCGGCAGAGGTTGGGCTCAATTTGTCTGGTGTGTTGAGTATGGCATGAGGCTGTGTCCCAGATAGCCACTTTAATAGAGGGACCTTAATGTAGGCTTTGACTCAAGGCTACCATATTGTGAGCTGTTTGTCAAGAACAGTCTTCTATCATTTATCAAACTGCAACCATAGGGCTCTGAAGCTCACCTTCATTTTGGACTAACTGAAATTATGTGTGTGGTTTTATGCCAATTTTAGGATTATTCCAGCAACAAACAACAGTGGGGGATACCAATATTTGGCTACACACCTGCGATATGGTGCATCCTATACGCATACACATTGGGAAAACAAGTGTCATTAAATTGATCAAAATTATAGATTTGATGTTACATTGAAACCCTCATCTACGGTCAGTCAGTGAGTATGGTTTTACACCGCTTTTAGCAATATTCCAGCAATATCACAGCGGGGGACACCAGAAATGGGCTTCACACATTGTACCCATGTCAGGAATCGAACCCGGGTCTTCGGCGTGACGAGCAAACGCTTTAACCACTAGGCTACTTGATCTTGATCTACAGCGAATCAAGGCTACTGAGCATGTGCAATAATTATTATTCATGAAACCTGCCACATAGCAACAGCTGAGAATCCCTTCACTCAATGATTGCCATAGCACAAGGTACACTTTTTGATGACACTGAGTTTAAAATTTGATCCATGCAGTGTATATTCGCTAACACATAAAAGATCCTATGGTGTTACCAGATTCATGGGGCATATGAAGGTCAAAGGTGATAGCAGAGCAAAAAACAAAAATTGATGGATATATGAAAACATGTTAAATTCCTTACAGCATAATATCTGGATCAAAACATTGTGTTTTCACAGGTATCATGATCACTTTTCCTGTGAACATGGTGAAGATCCAGGGTAGAATAGGTTTTCAGCAACCCAGCTTGCTGTAAAAGGTGACAATGCCTGTCGTAACTGGATAAGGTAGTCAAGCTCGCTGACTTGGTTAATGCATGTGATTGTATCCCAATTGCGTGGATTGATGCTCATGATGTCATGTATTGTCAGGTTCGATTATTTACAGACAGCCATCATATAGGTGGAATATTGTTGAGTGCGGCATTAAACAACAAACAAAACAAAACAAAACAAAACAAAACTTCTCCTGTGCATCCCCATCATCTTCTCACTCAACATTAACATAGCTAAAGCATGTGATATATTTCTTCTGAGAAACCCTTGTCAAATATCTCAGAGGACATGTACAAGACTTTCTAAAATGTTACGACTCCCAATGGGGATTTGGTATTCAGAATCCTTCAGCTTACAGGAAAAAGAGCATAAGAAATAAATGTCACATGAAGTTCTATCCCTTCTAATTTAGGAACAGCTATCAGGTGGCTTACTTCCAGCAACCTGCTGTAAGATTCAGCTGTTCAAGAAGACAGCAAAGGAGAAAAACACATGCGTAATAAACTACTGTATTTCAAACTAAAGCTTGGCTGGTTAAATTGTCAAATGGTCAGTGGACATTTGTTGACAAGGTAGCCTTAGTGCTACCCAATGAAATACCCTGCCACATTTTAACATGGGTACCCAACACAGACAAATAATCGAACCATGTATATCACCAACCTTCTGCTTCTTCAAACTATGAAGGAGATCAAGGCAAGCTTATCAACTGTATCTGAAGATGCTGCATCCTGACTGTTTCACTGACATTTTCATCAAATCTTGGAGAAATCTTTTCCTCCCAAGACATTTTGAGTTTCATTTTTTTCAACCACGTAAAATATATGAAAATAGTTGCTTTTACATAAAAACATGGAAATCCTGACATCTGCATGAAAACAAATGTATACTACTCATTGTTAAGCCATGGTATGCAGTGACATATATTCAACATTCCAACCTGGATCAGCACGTAAATTGTATTACAATCCCCATAACCTTTACAACTTTATTGTTGGTGCTCTTGTGTCGTTATTTTTAGAAAATATGAATTTTGTAAATGTCTGCAAGTAAATGAAGTATTACCATGATTACATATGCATGAATCCCTGCTGGAGTGACACTAATTTGACACCACGGAATATCTATCACTCAGTCCCAGCCTGTGCAGAGACACACAGGAAGTTCGTGTTAACATTACTAGTAACATGACAAACATTAATATCCCACTCAGATACAGTATACTGAACTGACCAGTCCCTTGTTTTATCCTCTTCATGTTGAGCAAGGTAACATCAAGTACCATCTTTTAATGGGTTTTTTTATGACATGGCCGGAACTGAACCATAAACCTTCTGCTCTCAAGGCAGACATTCCATCCACTGGACCAAGGATGCAGATGATGTCAAGTGAATATCTAGGGGTTTTCTGTTGATGGCTCAGTGACCATCAGCAGGTGGTGAGGTATATCTAGTGGATTCTGATGATGGCTCAGTTACCATCAGGAGGTGGTGAGGTATATCTAGTGGTTTTCTGATGATGGCTTAGTTACCATCAGGAGGTCACAGTGAGATATATCTAGTGTTTTTCTGATCATAGATCAGTTACTATCAGGAGGTGGTGAGGTATATCTAGTGGTTTTCTGATGATAGATCAGCTTCCATCAGGAGGTCACAGTGAGGTATATCTAGTGTTTTTCTGTTGATGGATCAGTTATCATCAGGAGGTGGTGAGGTATATATAGTGGATTCTGATGATGGCTCAGTTACCATCAGGAGGTGGTGAGGTATATCTAGTGTTTTTTTCTGTTAATGGCTCAGTTACCATCAGGAGGTGGTGAGGTATATCTAGTGCCCCAGTAGGGGTTTTCTGACGATGGCTCAGTTACCACCAGGAGATGGTGAGGTATATCTAGTGGTTTCTGATGATGGCTCAGTTACCATCAGGTCACAGTGAGGTATATATAGTGGTTTTCTGATGATAGATCAGTTACCATCAGGGGGTCACAGTGAGGTATATCTTGTGGTTTTCTGTTGATGGCTCAGTTACCATCAGGAGGTCACAGTGAGGTATATCTAGTGGTTCTGATGATGGCTCAGTTACCATCAGGTCACAGTGAAGTATATATAGTGGTTTTCTGATGATAGATCAGTTACCATCAGGAGGTCACAGTGAGGTATATCTTTTGGTTTTCTGTTGATGGCTCAGTTACCATCAGGAGGTGGTGAGGTATATCTAGTGGTTTACTGTTGATGGCTCAGTTACCATCAGGAGGTGGTGAGGTATATATAGTGGATTCTGAAGATGGCTCAGTTACCATCAGGAGGTCACAGTGAGGTATATATAGTGGTTTTCTGATGGTGGCTCAGTTACCATCAGTATGTGGATAGATATTTTTAATGTTTTTCTGATGATGGAGGAGTTACTATCAGCAGGTGGTGAGGTAAAGTGGGGTTAAAGATCAGGCTAAAGATTATTTCACTTCTATAATGTCTGGACTTATGCCAGTCTTACAGTGCATAAAATCCACTGAGATACCACATCCACTGAGCATGATGAGATACCATTATACTGACTGTTTGGGAACAATGAAAGACAAGTGACCAGATTACATATTGTGACCACTGATATTAGCAATAACCAGCCAGCTCTAGAAACATTCTTTAGCACTTGGGCTTACACATCTTTTTTTGTTTTTTTGTTTGTTTGTTTGTTCTTTAACATAACACTCACTAATAAACCATCTATATGACAGCGCTCTGTAAGTAATCGAGTCTGGACAAGACAATCCAGTCATTGACACCATGAGCATCAATCTATGCAATTGGGATACGATGACATGCATCAACCAAGTTAGCGAGCCTGACCAGCCGATCCTGTTAGTCACCTCTTATGACAATCATGGGTTGCTGAAGACCACAGAATTATCGTAACCCGGATCTTCACGGGTTGCTTACCCATGTTAATAATGAGGTCTCAAGACTCAAAAGTATCATATTTGTAATTTACACAAAGTATCCATTGGCATAATGATGCAATGTGACATATCAAATAACTCTGTATGGTGAGGGAGAGGTTGGCCATGTTTGCTAATTCGTTCAGCCAGAAACAAAAGTCACAACAGAAGGTATAATAAAACAAAAATAGAAATAGTTCAAATATATTTTTATTTGCCCAACCATATCAACCATCTT